GGGGCCGCAGCAGCCACCAGCCACCCCCCTGCTGCCTCCCCCCGCTTTTCAAACCAACTCGCTACCCACATTGCAAAACTTTTAGGACAGATGCAGCCTCTTACTCCACGCTTATGTAGTTTTTGGCACAAGAGGAGGACGTCTGAACCAGTCCTGGGGGAGCAGAGCTGGTGACCGGGGCCGACTCAGCCTCTCTCGGCAGCTCGGGAAATGGTTTATACGGCCTCCTTGCTTTTTCCCTGCCTGAAACTCTGAGCACAGGCCTGGAAAAGATTAACCAAAGCTAGAGCTGTAGTATATCTAAATTCCAGAACTAGTACTCAGAGTGAATTTCCCCTGTGGGCTCTGCTTTACCTGATGGGTTGGATCGGCAGGCAAGCAAATGCATAAAACTCCGGTGATTTGGATGGCATTAGGCTGCTCCACCCCTTGCAGAATCTGCCCCTCTGCTTTTGAATGTGCTTTTCTTTGTTTTGAAAGATGAGGATTATGAATTCTGCAAGGTGACTTCCCTGTAACGCCCTTTTCCAAAAAATACCTCTCTCAACATGCCAAGAAATCCTTTTGCTCTTTTATGGAACTTTGTCTAAAGTTTACTGAAGTCTGTCCATGAATTTCACATTGCTTATAGATTTCCCTTACCAGTTTTTCGAAAGATGCACTGTAATGCTGCAGAGATGCTCCCTCCTCACCCTTACCGCAATCTGTGACCGTTGCAGGACCCCCCAGGGAATCAGGTTCTCAATCTCAAGTGAAAGCAATTCTTGGAGTTCGTGATTCCTAATGAAAACAGAACTTTGAGTGTCAAAGTTGACTTTACACAGCTGGAGCTCCGAGGGGCACGAAAGTATCTGATGGCGAATTTTAGGAGACGCGCGCAGAATTGCACACCTAGAAGCAGCCCCGGGCAGCCGCCGCGGCGGGGATCCCCCGGGCCACCCCCCTGGGGCTGCGGCTGCTCCCCGGGGATGCACGGCTCTGCGGGGGCAAGTGCTTGTAGAAGCAAACCATCCCCTCCCCTCCTCCCTGCCACCTCCCCCTGGACCAGAGCCAAGCCAAGCCAAGCCGAAGCGGCTCTGCTGACCGAGGCTCTGCGTGGTACTGCCTGACAGCCTCAGTGGTTCGTATAGGTGCTCCCACTTGTGCGTGTAATTCATCCCTTTGAAAAGAAAAGGCCCTAATGGGAGAGGAACCAGATTAAAGGAGGAAAACCCATGGTAGAAAAAGCGGAGAACAATTTCACAGGCACTAAGTATGCTGCGTAGGACTAGTAAATACCAATAACCACCAGCGGGACACTCCCTCCTGCTTTCAGTGAGTTGCATTTAAATACAGTTTAAATCTTATGGTTTTCTTTGAAAGAGGAAAAGTGGTGTGCTTAGCCCCGTCCGTAGCTAGCTCTAGATGTCTCAGGTTCCACATACTTTGCTGTTCAGCACTTCTTTCTGACGATGCTTCAGTAGCACTTTCAAACCCATCCCCAGTTCTTCCTCTTAGAAGCTTTTGGTCTGGTTTTCTTATGCTGCTCAGAGAAATACTGGCTGGTGCAACGACTTGCTTTGAGGGTCTGGTCTTGGTTTTGCTTTCTTTCCCTGAGAAGTTGCTTGATTCTGTAGACGTCGTCGTTCGCCTGGGTGTTGATCTCTGTGAGATCTTTCAGCAGAAGATGCAGTGGCTATTGTAGAATTATTCAAATGGTATTAACAGGCAGGCAGGACAGCGTGAGGCTTCAGGGAGAGAGATGAAGTGCGTCGGACTTGTCTTTCCTCGTGCCAGCGTGCTGGAACAGCAGTGGGGCTGGAGCCAAGGTCTGGCACAAGGTTTGCCAGCAGCTTCTGCGTACTCTGGGATGTTTTCAGCAGCACTCCTCATGGCGGGTTGTTAAAACATACTGCGACATCCTTAAGAGCATCCTTAAAAGCTCCCGTCCTAGCCAGGCTCTAGCGTGGTTTCTGCCTGCCGGCGCTGCCTGGCGGCTGTGCCCCTTTCAGCCCTGAACTGGCCCGAATTGCCCCGCAGCGGTGCTGGGGACTGCCCGCCACTTGTGCTAAACCTCGGGGGCATTTGCGCTTCCAGCAGTGGGTGAAGGTGTTCCTGTATATGTATTGCAAAATGTTTTGTGCTTATAAGTGACACACACACATATATATACATATAATCAAGGGATTTATATATATATATATATATAAAAGAAAGGATCTTTAACTGACACTAAAATTATCGGGCAGTGCATTTTCCTTTCCGATCCCCACCGTTTCCATGCACATAACTTCTACCAGCCTGGGAAGCGACTTTGTGCAGGGAGCAGAAGGGGCTCAGAAATGCGGCTGGGGGAGGATCGGGGGAGCCCCCGGCTGCATGGAGAGGTCTCTCCTGTCACCGGGGGTTGTTCCCCTTCTCGCCGGGGTTTTGGCCCCCCGCTTGCTCCTGCTGCGCCCTGGCTGCCGCTTGGCTTGGGCCAGTTCCTGACCTTGGTGAGAAGCAGAGGCAGGTCAGGTCCAGGTCCACCTCCCCAGTGCCGGTGCCACAGGCTCCCAGTCCTCGCAGCAGAGTGGGAAGGGACCCCTGCTCCCCTCCGCCAGCGTCTCCTGCGTTAGCCCTGGGGACCGGTTTGCAGCTGCCGGGAGCTGGCAGCGAGCTCTGCTCCGTCTGGGCTTTAATTCAGGAAAGCACTTAGCATGTACTTGCATCCTCTTGAAATCCCACAAGTCAAGCACCAGATTACACTTAAGCACAACATGAAAATGCTTTTTTTCTGAGCGAAAAGGGGGGGGATCCTAAGCACAAACTCAGTTTCTTTCCAGAGTTTTGAGGGTCTTCAGGAATGGCAGGTGAAGGGGCCAGGATACGTCGCTGGCAGGAACGGGCTTGTTAACCTGGGCTGAGGCTTCTCAGCTGCCTTCGGCTTGACTGCAAGAGGTGCTCAGCGCTGATAACTGCGCTTAAAACCGGCGGCTGGGCAGAGCTCAGCACCTCTGCAGATCGCACCTTGCACTCATATGGTTTTGCTGATGTTCCAACTTCTGTTCCACTAGAGCTGGCAAAGAGTCTGTCATTCCCCAGTCCTAGAGCATGCTTTCATGATGTTTTAATGAATGTAGCACTGCGTATATCCTGCAAAGGGAAATGCTGAATTTATATCATTAGAATGTGAAGAGAGTTTATAGAGTGAAAATAAATCTTGAAGAAATGTATCTGACAAAGTTTATTTTTTATGTAGAGAGGCGGTGCTTTGTAGTTCCTGGTGGCCT